GATTGAGGACAGTAATTTTAGAGGTGATTTAAACTTCAACCTTTTGATTGTGAGGCAAATGTTTTACCACTACTACTACCACATATGTCACAAAAGACATCATTTTGATCATTCTGATCAAAAGACTCTTTTGATCATTCTGATCAAAAGAGGCAAATGTTTAATTTAGTGCAATTAAATGTTATTTAATTGCACTAAATTAAAAACATGTTCAGAATATTTTCGACAAAAAAAAAAAGATTACAATAATAATTATTATGGCAACTGAGTTATTCAAAGTTTGTAAAACAATATAAAGCTTTTGTTAGTGTAAAAAAACTAGTTTTACACTAACATGTTCAACATGTCACTAACAAGTTTACCACATGTAATCTACATATTTGCAATATGATGTTGCAACCTTGTAAATTATTGTCAATGGGGATGACTATGAACACTTTATTACCTCAGTTTTGCAACCGAATCAAAGTAACAAAATATACAGCTTTGTTGTGTGTGTTTCTTCACCTTTTAGCAAACTTGATACTAATGTTCTAACAAATAGGTGACTATTGATTTCTATATGAGTTAAAAGGAGATAACCATCAACACTAAGATCAAAAGAGGAGACAGCCGAATTCAAATAAATCTCACAAAGAGCAAGTAGGTCTGGTGAGCTTTGCAAGAGATAAGACTCAACAGAAAAAAAGTTACTTGAAAAATCATGAATATTAGTGAATGATAGATTTAGAGAACTTGATGATGACGATGGTTTTTTGATTTTTATAGTTTTTGATACTTTATTTCATTTTTAAATTTTTTAAAGAAATTGACTCAAAGTACAGTACACTATTAAATATTCCAAACAATTGCTTTAATGCTTTTAATAAACACTAAGTAATAATAAACCCTAATGCTGTTAATAAACCCTAATAACAAAGGGCTCAAAATGAGGCCTTGACAGTGCACACAAAAAGTACAAATAGAGACACCATCAATGCACAACATGGCACTGTTAATACTCTAATACTTTACAGGAATCAGCCTCTCAGAAAAAGGAATCAGCCTCTCAGAGTCAGTTGGAGGAATCAGCCTTTCAGAGAGCTACTAAAGAGTATGGGAGACTGAGTTTTAGAGCTGTACCCTCATTAGGAGATAATATAATGAATTACCTAGTCATAAAAACAGAGACCTAAGCAAAATCCATGCAATGAGTCAAGAAGCTCTAGTATTAGGCATCTTAATCGGGAAACAATGTATTATAAATACACCTGCGCCTGCCTAGTAGATGATGAAATTGCTAGGCTGATCAACAAATAGAATCTGTTTACCCCTTAAACTTAATTTTTATTTTACACTTAACTTCACACCTTAACCTAATTCTCATATTAACTTTACTTTTAAATTAAACATCTTATAACAAACAACTTAAACTTAAAAAATTATGTTGCCTGTATTGACTCAAACATCATTCAAGAATATTTAATTGGTTGGTATTAGACAAAGAATTTTTTATTTCCGCACATACGTTTCTATTATATAAAATCTTCTATGAATACATTTTAATATTGTCCAAAATTTAAGCCTTTTCAGTTAATTATAATTAGTGATACCGTTTAACGAAATCTGTTGCAAATTACTTTGCTGACGTTGCCAATTTCTAAAACTACTTAACTATTTATTTTGGGGGGACCCTTAAAACAATTTTTTTTCAAGTAAAATTTTTTTATACAATATGAATAAGATTAAATAAAACTGTGTGAAAAGTTGAAGTCGTTATGTAATATATTTGTTAACATTTTATGCGAAAATATTTGAAAAAGGTATAAAAAGATTAATTTTTTTAACTTTGTTAAATGGGGGCAAAAAGTACTTGCTACATATTATTTTTTTCTTTATCTAAACCTTTATTTAAAAGTTGGTATGGTAATTTTAGAATTTTGCAGGAATGGGACACCCTAAAGTTACATGTGATAAAATAGCCTTGAAAGAGCAGTCACATAGTTTTATAAGCACAGGCCATTTTTTCTGAAAGTTGGAGAATTTTTGGTGGCGTTTTCTCTGTTAAATGACTTCAGTGTCTTTATCTAATAAAATTCCACTGTTTGTGACTGGATCAGAAGCTCAGCATTCAACTTGGTAACATCTATTAATTGGCCTTCTTTCCTCACCTAAACCTGCGAAACTACAATTTGTATCATCTATTATCCATTCTTGCATGGAAAACTGTTGGGGTGGTTTTTCAAATGATATGCTTTCTCTTTTAGTAAATTTTCTTTACAAAAGCACATTATAAATGTAATTTAATTTTATACAATTGCTCTAGCTGTTAAATTTGAGGTTTTGTTCCATTATTGTAAGGTGGCATCTCTTTTTAAGTATTTTGTATTTTCTATATTCTCTATATTTCTACAAATACTGCCATGATTGCTGCTCAAGCCAGCTATTATCTCTTGTTCCCGGAACCAAAATATAGTTTCATGTGACTTGTCATTCAACAAATTTATAGTCTTTTACTGTGTTTCATTGTGCTTAAAAAAGTTGTATTCATATAGTTTTTTTTAATATCAGTACTTTAGAATTCTCTTCTGTATTCATATACTTTTCAGTTTTTGTATGCTTTTCAGTTTTTTAAGTCTTCTTTCAATTTTTTTTTTTTACATCTTAATTTAATTAAACTTTTTCACTCATTTCTTTACTTTCTAGTAGTTTTTTAAATAGTGTTTGCTTGCTGCCCTGTTATAAGTGAGTTTATTGAAAAAATAATATTGAAAAATTGATATAATTAGTATATAAATATATAATTGGTTGGTTGTATAGAATTAACTGGTATAAATATGTGAATAGTTTAATTGTTTAATTTAGTATATAAGTATTATGTTTAAGTTAGTTTATATATAAAAATTAAAGTTAGCTGTAATTAGTAATCAAGTTTAAGATGTATTTGTAAAATAAAGTATTTATATAATATAGTTTTTTGTGATTGTTTAGCATTAAAAAAAATCATTAAAGTATTTGAAGACAATTTTGAAGAGGTTGAAGGACGAAAGGTATTTCAGCTAGTATTTTGTGCATTTTTTACACTTAATCTACCATAATCAATTGCTAAAATATTGACTTTTTAGCCGAAAATCTCTGAGAAGTATGAGATACAGAAGTATATAACTGAGTTAGGAAAACTTAAGAAACAATTAAATGGTAATGATGATTTGGTAATAAGAAAAGTATTCAATGGATTTAACTGTTTATATAGATTCATTTTAATATATTAGATGAAGCATTCAAATTAATTAATCCACCTAATGTGTCTAAACATAAAGATTCTGATGTTAAAGGTTAGTTTTTTTTTTTTTTTACATTAAATTGTTTTATTAGTAGAAATATATTAAGATACTCTTTATTTCAGTATTAAATATTGTATATTAATATTGTTTTATTATACTCTTTATTTCAGTATTAAATATTGTATATTAATATTGTTTTATTATACTCTTTATTTCAGTATTAAATATTGTATATTAATATTGTTTTATTATACTCTTTATTTCAGTATTAAATATTGTATATTAATATTGTTTTATTATACTCTTTATTTCAGTATTAAATATTGTATATTAATATTGTTTTATTATACTCTTTATTTCAGTATTAAATATTGTATATTAATATTGTTTTATTATACATTTAATGATCTGATAATGCTGGTGTCTATATCCAGCAATTTCTAAAATAAAAAATTATTAGTACTGAGAGAAAGTGTTTTTTCTGGCGTTTTAAGTAACAATATATAGTATACTCTCCTTTTTAGGAAAAGTTATTATATGTTTGATTACTAAAAAATTAGATATGCATTGGAAATGAATTTTTGCAGTCATAAATGTAATACTTTAAGTGTTGGTTAAAAATTATTATCACTCTGAAATTAAAATCATTTACATACTTATTTTGATCAAACTTTTAAAATGCAGTTTTCCATACTTACTGTATGTGTTTCACACTTATCAAATATATTGTTAACACTTACTGTATATTTTTAAAACTTACTATATATTTTTAAAACTATTTTAGTGTCTGGTTTATAATACATTCACAGTTTCAAACTGTGAATGTATTAAAAAAACTATTAAATGTTAAATATATAGGAGAAAGCATTATTTTCATACTTTTTGTATTTGGATTCCAAATATTTAAAATACTAATTAGTCAGTTGTTGTAAAAAATATTTGAAAGTTTATTATTATAGTTGTTTAAAAGTTAGCTTTAGAAAGCTTTTAGACCATTTTATTAGAATAAATCACCTTTTATAAATAAGCCTTTATGGTATGACAGGCATGTTGTCATAATTATATTTTATCACAACTGCAGGTCTTTATCATTTATATATAAAAAAAAACAAAACAAGAATATAATTAAAAAACTTTGAAAATGACCATTAAAAATCATTATCAGAGTCACAGTTATGATAAGCTGGGCCCTTCTGCTGTTCTTTATGTGCTTGAGCACACACAACATTTGATCAGTTTTTCAGCACAGTACTATTAATCCAATTATTTATGCAAATGATACAGTAGTTGTCATCTTCTGATGTCTATGCTTTTTTATAGTTTTGTCATTTCCCTTTTTCTTTGCAGAACCTTTAATTTTTTTTTGTCTTGGCTGTGAATGTCATGTTCTTACAGAATTTTGAATAATGAATCAGTTAATATAGTTGAAGTTCTCTTCGTGGGTACTTAAAAGTTTTTTGAAGGCAAATTTTCTAGTGACGAGTCTATGCTAATTATACTTTTTTTTTTCTTTTACAACTTTTTTTTTTCTACAACTTTTTTTTTTTACACCTTTCTTTTTTTTCTTTTACGACTTTTCTTTTTTCTTTAACAGCTTTCTTTTTTTTCTTTTACGACTTTCTTTTTTCTTTAACAGCTTTCTTTTTTTTATTTTACGACTTTCTTTTTTCTTTAGCAGCTTTCTTTTTTTTCTTTTATGTTTTTCTTTTTTCTTTAACAGCTTTCTTTTCTTTTTAGAAAAAAACATTTCTTCTTATTACTTTTTCAATAAACATCCTCTGTAGACCATTGTTTCTTCCTTAGTTTTCTTCCTCCATTTTTTACTTTTTCTATTCAGCCAATTGTTTCTTACTTTTTTTTCTTCCTTTGTTTTTGATTTTTCTTGGTGTTTTGCTTTTTAAATTTTCTGCCATGTTTTAGATGTCAAAGCGAATCTAAACTTTCTTTTTAACGCTTGGACATTAAAACTGGTTGTTTTGGCCATAATAAAATCTTTTCTATTGGATTTTTGATATCTGTAAAATTATATTTTTGTTGGATAAGGTTCTTTTCTAAAAATGATACAGCTGGAGGTATTTAAGACCTTTTCAATTTTAAAAATTATCAGCTATTTTTAACTCCTTTAAGATATTTAAATGAATTTATGATTCAATAAAGGTTATGTGAGATGCTGATAAAGTCACATTTGATTGTGACTTAATCAGTTTGATTTCTAAATAAGTAGTTGGGACGTCAATTGCAGTTAATTCATATAAACTTTGAACAATTTTTATGTAGTCAACACTTTTAGCATATAATAGAAAAGATCAGGTATTTTTAAAACTACTTTTAATATTATTTTTCGTAGTAGAATCGGTTATAAATGAACTTAATGCCTTTGTTACATTTTCCTTGTTTATTTGAAAGAAGGAAAATGTAACAGTTCTTTATGGTCAATATGCAATTCTCGGAAAATTTAAACCTGTTCTTTATGGTCAATATGCAATTTTTGGCAAAAAGATTTTAACTTTTTTTTCATTGGCCTAAAAACAGCCTCATAGTGTGGCTGCAAGATATGTATTGTATTAGGGAACAAAGTAACAAGAATTATTTCATTTTTAGAGCAAAACTTTTTCCAATGCCCTATTCTGTTGGAGCAGCATTTATTTCTATTATACTATTTGGAAGACAAACGTTTAAAAAAATTGTTAGTGATGGAGCAAAAGTTCCATTTAGCATTTACTGCAAATAAATTGATTTTTATTACTTTTTTATAATTCTACTTACTTTTTTATTACTTCTATTTATTTCTATATTATTACTATTTATTCTTCTATTTTCTACTTCTATTATTTCTATATTCTATCTACTTTATTACTTTATTATTACTTCATATTTATTTTTTACTTGAACACCAATCAGTTTTCAGTTGTCACTCAAAATGAGTTTTTGATGACAACTGAAAACCACCCTCATCCATACTGAAAATATGCATTGAATTATTCAAATATTGAGCAGTTTCCCCCCCCTCCCCCCAAAAAGAAAAAAAAAAAAAAAATTGAGCAAACCAGTCTCAGTTAGAGCTAGAGGACAAATAACTTTTATATCTATTTGTCCTCTAGCTCAGTTTATATAATCAACACAATTTTAACTGTTCATGACAACTTAGAAATGCATAAAACCAACCTTTTGCAGGACAGTTGTTTGTATGTTATGTTTTTATATTATTGGAATTTAAGTAATTTTGTACAATATTTAATACCTGTGCCACACACACGATGAACCTTATTCTGGTGCATATTAGTATCCATTCAGGTGCATGTTAGTATCTATTCTTGTGCATGTTAGTATCCATTCTCATGCACATTAGTACCATTTTCTTGCATGTTAGTATTTGTTTAACTAACTTTTTAATGTGTTCACCTTATTCTAATTTATACCCACAGTGTTTTATCTTTATAGAAGTTTTTCCAGATATTTTATCACAAAGCATTTGATAAGGAATTGCAAATATCTTGCTTGTTTTGTATCCAACTATGACTTTTTTTACAGCATTGGTAGCATCTTATATTGTTTCAATATTAGATGCTTTTAATGCTTTGTTTTGAGCTACCAGTTTTGTAGATTTTTGTCCTGCCATCGTAAAAGAATCTAATTAAAACTATGCTTTTTTTATGGTAAAAAAAATTAACTGATCATTCATTAAACATATAAATGTATTGAATTAAATTCTTTTAGTTTATATGTTCTGTTTATTTAGTTAATATATTCAAATACATTGATACTACACAGATGAGCAGTTTTATTTATATAACTTATGTTTTAATTACTTGATTTAGTAAATAAACTTTTATGTTATCATTTAAATTGTTTTTATTGAAATGCTTTTAATAGCTACTAAATAAAAAAAAATTATTATTATATGCTTATGTAATAAACCCACTGAGTTCTTAAAAGTAACTATGATTTGTGGTTATTATGTGTTCAAATAGAAGTCTGTAACAATGTTGTTAATACACAAAATATAAATATTATATAAAAAATAAATAATAAATATAAAATATTATAAATAAACTCCGTTAGCACGGATCCTTATAATGCCTACCTAGCTGTCCCAAGAACGCCACTTATACAGAAAGTTAGCGTACACATCAAGGTACCTATGCTGCAAATTTTGAATTCATTTAATTTTGTCGGCAGAAAATAATTTAATTTGAATGTTCAAATTAAGTCAAATTTTGACTTCATAGTGCGCCAATAAAAACACTTGTACAATTTGAACCACTCAATATAATTTGATAAAAATTGGTGTAAATGTAGCCAATAGTCACACCAAACTCTGGAAAAATTTTAGCTTGATTGATTGACTGGTGTAGGATTTATTGCAGTTTTAGTTCAAGTTTTGTCAGTTTTTTGCTATTTATACCTCAAAGCGTTATCCATTACTTTGAAATTCGGTCACTATTTTTAAAATAACGGTTATATGAGTGTTCTACTATGTAGTATTAAGAATTTTTGTTTAATTAATTCAAGCCTTGAGTCTTTCCTGCAATCTGGCGGGGTTGTTGCTAATGCAAAGCTGTTTGGCAATGTCATTCGAAAGCCAATCGTCTGCGGGCTTGTCAATGTTCTGATTTTGAAAATCATTTCACTGATGGAATTGCATCTCCTCTTAGGAGTTGTCAACCATCTTTTCAAGATTCTTAAAACTGCTTGGATAGAAGCTGTTAAGTGGCCAGCCGCCCTCCACATTTAACTGAGCCCGTATCACGGGGGCCAGTTTGAGGGGAATGAATGCAGGAAGCTTCTTAAAAATGTGGATATGCTGCAGCAACTTGCTGAGACAAACATGGTTCCCAATACTGTGTGCATAATTGAAGCATTCAAAAGCTTCAATTTAGTTGTCAAGGCTTGCTTTGGATACATCCTTCAGCAGGATTTTGCTGAAAAAATTGAAAATTTTAAAAAGTGTTACCTAATGATAACTAGTGCAAGCGTACCACCCAAAATTCACGCCGCCTTCAACCACATCAAGGATTTTATCAGTCACAAAGGATCTCCCTTGGGGCCCTATATTGAACAAACAGTCGAAACTTCTCATCAAGATTTTTATCAACATTGGTCGAGATATAAGCGAAATAATAATCATCCAGAGTACAAAGAAAGATTGTTGCGCTGCATAATTGATCTAAATAGTAAGCATCTTTAAAAAACATCATTCGAGTTATTAGAAATTAGGCTGCTGAAATTCATATTTTACGGCGTATAATGAATGTTTTCACCATCTTTAAAAGTAGTATTATAGAGTATATGTATTAGAAATACAAATACTCTATAATACTAAATAAAAGTGTACATTGAGCTATTTATTAATAATCTTTTAGTGGAGAAAATCAAAAAAACATTTCCTAAAATGTAATTAGATATTTAATCGTAATACAATGTAAAAAATAGGGTTTAAATAGTTTTCATTTCATTTTAAAAGTAAATGTATTTTAGGAGGTCAATACAAAATATTTTAGGAGATCTACTTTTTTGTTTTGTTTTACTTACTAGTAGTCGTTTGACCAGGCTTTGTACTTTTTTTAAGCTTTTTTTTTTGGCAGCAGTTTATACCTTAGGAAATGTTGGTATATTAAAGCAAAGCATACATGACCGTCAATGCTGGGGAGCCTAGGGGGTCATGTCCTTCTCTACTTTTTTTTTGCGAGGACCTTTTGTTTTAGAAAAATAGGCAATTATTTTAGAAATTATGGATTTTATTTTAGAATTTGAGGGGTTGACCCCCTCAACTCTGAAAGCTGTATCGACACTATTAGCATAAGACTATTTAAATCATGCTTTAAGTAGAAAATCACTATTTTAGTCTATAAAATGAAAACTGTACATGTACTAATAAAATAATTATAACAAAAATTGTTGGTATTACATAGTAGAACACTTATGTAATCGTTATTTTAAAAATAGTGGCCGAATTTCAAAGTAATCGGTAACGCTTTGAGGTATAAGTAGCAAAAAACTGACAAAACTTGAACTAAACCTGCAATAAATCCTACACCAGTCATCCAATCAAGCTAAAATTTTTTCCAGAGTTTGGTGTGACTATTGGCTACATTTACACCAATTTTTATCAAATTATATTGAGTGATTCAAATTCTACAAGTGTTTTTATTGGAAGACTATGAAGTCAAAATTTGACTTAGTTTAAACATTCAAATTAAATTATTTTCCACGGACAAAATTAAATGGTTTCAAAATTTGCATCACAGGGTACCTGTGATGCAAATTTTGAAACTGTGTACGCTAACTTTCCGTATAAGTGGCGTTCTTGGGACAGCTAGGTAGGCAATATAAGGATCCGTGCTATCCGTGTAAAATAAATAATAAATATAAAATATATAATAAATATGAAATATTATAATAAAAAATAAATATAAAATAAAAAAAAAACTACCTGTTGCAAAATTTCTGTTTAGGACTTAAAACTTACTTGATTCACGGTAGATATGGAAATGACCTTAGATATATATATATTTGTTAATAAAAAAAAAGTACAACTTTTTAAGGTGCTAATAATTTTATTCCTAGAGGCAATCTTTAGCCATGTAAAACACTATTTTGTATATAGATTTGTTTAAGTTATATCTGTTTTAGAATTAAGTGATAAAGAAGATCTCTCTAAGGAAGATACTCTTATTGCACTCTTCAGTAAATTAGATAAAAAAAGAAAAGAAGTTGGTCGACCCCATGATATAATGGTACATTTGTTGTTGTTAATTAAAGAATATATATATATATATATATATATATATATATATATATATATATATATATATATATATATATATATATATATATATATATATATATATATCCAAAATTTCTTTTAAGCACAAAAAATGTAAATATTATAAGAAACAAGACAAATTTTTTAATTAATAAAACCATTTTATTAATTATAACCAATACATATTTCGACTATCACTAGTCATCTTCAGTTGAATTTAAATTTTTTATTTTTTAAATTTGTTTAAATACCTATATAAGTGATTTTTACAATAACAATACAAAATGTAATTATCTCTGTACAAACTAATTTAATTACAAAAGTACGACAAAATCTATAAGAATAACAAGTCATGATAAAAGAATATATAGGAAGTGACAAAAAAATAGGTTAATAAAAACTTTACATTGAAAATAATAACTAAACAGAAAGTGTCATTTGGATATGGACTTGTTTGTTCAAACCAGGTTTTAACCATTCTATGAACATGCTTTCTTTAAGTTTTAGTTTGAACTTATTAGATGCTGTATCTAAAACGGAAAAACACTTTTCATTTAATTGCATAAAACAATTTTCATTACTATGGAGATGTTTATAGATATGTGATTTTTGTCTCTCTTATAATGTTCAGTTATTTGTGTCTTGAGATTGTGAGTAGTTTCGCCTATATAACAGGAGTTACATCCTGTGTAAATGTATTTGTAGACCACGAACGATTTGAACTCTAGAGGAATAGGATCTTTAGAGGAAAAAAATTTTGAAACTTTTAGTGAGACAAAAACTAGTTTAAAATTTACAGAACAGCAATATCTTTTAACAATTGAATTCAATCTTTATTAGTTAAATCCAATATTTTTCCTATAATTGGTAGTTTATAGTAAGACAAAGGTTCTTTTTTTGGTTGTGATGGATTGTTTGTGTTAATTTTGTTTAAATAAGATTTATATATTTTTGTTATCAACCAAGATGGATACATGTTTCTTTGAAATACTTTGAAAAGGTTGTTTATGTTGGAGTTAAACCCTAGATTAGTACTATTGATTTTAAATGTTCTATCGATTAAGCATTTGATAAGACTGACTGTACAAAAGCGGAGTGAAACTATAAAAATTGGTGTGTAGGCTAGAGTAGGTTTTTTTATGAAAAACTGTTGTAGTTACTGTAGAATTTATTTTGCATAAAGTTAAGTCCAAGAAGGATATTTTCAAATTCACTTCTTGTTCTATGGTGAAAGAAATAGAGTTGTGTCTACTATTTATATAATCAAGGAAAATACGTGCTTCATTTTCTGACTGAAAAGCAGCAAAATATGTCATCAACATATCGTTTATAGAAAACTGGTTTAACACCATTGCAATTTTTAATCCAGTTATTTTCAAAGTGGCCCATAAACAAATTGGAAAGAACAGGTGCTAGTGGAGAGCCCATGGCTACACCATCTATTTGATCATAAGTATGTCCTTTAAAAAGAAAATGTGTTTGTGAGGTAGCGAAATTAAATAGTTTTTTCAAATTGTTTTTAGTAGTTTTAAAATTTTTATTATTAAGCATAATCGAATTAACTGCGATATCAATGGTTTCTTGAAGCGGAACATTAGTATATAAGCTGGTTACATCATACGATACTAAAAATTGTTTATGTAGATTACCTGACTTATTTCTTTAACAAAGGAAAATGAATCTTTAGTGCAAAACTCTGTGTTTATTAATGGAGATAACAAATCTCTAAGAAATTTGGCTAGTTATTAATTGTAGGTACCAATAGATGATACCTACAATTAATAACTAGGTGGAAGTTAACTTGGAAGATGCACAAGTTAACTCGGTGGAAGTTAGTTTGTGCATCTTCGGAAGACCATAGATACGAGCAGGATGGGATCCGGAAGGATAAATTCTGTTGTATGTGGAATCATTGAAAAAACCTTTTGCTTTTAGTTTCCTCAGAAAATTTTGAAGTTGAATTTCTCTATTTAAAGTTACATCTTTCTTAAGTTGCTTAAATTTTGTTTTATCATTAATAATTTTATAAATACCATTTGCATAAATTTCTTTATCTAATATTACTGCACCATTACCTTTATCAGGTTTTATAATAATAATATTTGGATTATTTGAAAGTTTTTTTAATATTCCATGTTTTTTCAGAGTTTATTAAGAAGGGCGATAATTGTAAATATAAGAATTTGCTAAATGGGAAAGTTCAACTTTAAGTTGTCCTGAATCTTCATTATTTTTCAGTTTTGTTTGATGAGATTAATTGGTTCAAAAGAAGAGTAAATATCAGTACGTTTAAGATATTTTGGTGGAATAGAAAACTGTAAACCATTTTTAAGGATGTCTATTTCATCATCAGAGAGTTAGTACGAAGAGCGATTAGTTATGATATTTGAAACATTAAAAGGATTTGTATGACCAGTTGTTAATCTTTTTAATTCCTTCTCATGTATTTTTATAATTTTATCTTTTTCTTATTGTGTATTAGATCTTAGCAGCTTAATTAAAATAAACCAATCAAACGAAGAAATAGTCATTTTTATGCGATTTTGTAAAGTATTAATTTCCTTACATAATTGTAATTTTTCCTTGTTGCGTTTTTGTAATGCACTCTTTAGTAATCTTTTTCTTATAAAACGAGAATCAAATTTTGAGACGCCAGGTAAATTAAATAAAATAAATTTCCGTAAAACTCCAAAAACTTATTAAAAAACACAATTATTAAAAAACACAATATCTAAAGCGGCTTTATTTAACTTATAATTCAATTTTTCCAATCTTCTGAAATCTTTCTTTGAAAGTTGTGTATACTTGCAATGTCATTTATAATATATCCAAAATTTCTTTTAAGCACAAAATATGTATATATTTTAAGAAAAAAGACAAATTTTTTAATTAATAAAACTATTTTATTAATTTTAACCAATACATGTTTCGACTATCACTAGTCATCTTCAGTTAAATTTAAATTTTTTGTTTTTTAAATTTGTTTAAATAACTATATAAGTGATTTTTACAATAACAATACAAAATGTAATTATCTCTGTACAAACTATTAATTTAATTACAAAAATACGACAAAATCTATAAGAATAACAAGTCATACTAAAAGAACGAATAGGAATTATAAAGATATTGCTGTTCTGTAAATTAGTGATTCTGTAACTAGTTTTTGTCCTATATAACAGGAGTTACATCCTGCGCATACGAATCTACAGATTCGTATGCGCAGGATGTAACTCCTGTTATATAGGAGAAACTACTCGCCATCTCAAGACACAAATAACTGAACATTATAAGAGAGACAAAAAATCACATATCTATAAACATCTCCATAGTAATGAAAATTGTTTTATTCAATTAAATGAAAAGTTTTTCTCTTTTTCGACTCAGCATCTAATAAGTTCGAATTAAAACTTAAAGAAAGCATGTTCACAGAATGGTTAAAACCTGGTTTGAACAAACAAGTCAACCATGTCCAAATGACACTTTCTGTTTAGTTATTATTTTCTATGTAAAATTTTTATTAACCTATTTTTTCGTCACTTCCTATTCATTCTTTTAGCATGACTTGTTATTCTTATAGATTTTGTTGTATTTTTGTAATTAAATTAATAGTTTGTGCATAGATAATTACATTTTGTATTGTTATTGTAAAAATCACTTATATAGGTATTTAAACAAATTTAAAAAATAAAAAATTTAAATTTAACTGAAGATGACTAGTGAAAGTCGAAACATGTATTGGTTAAAATAATTAAAATGGTTTTATTAATTAAAATATTTGTCTTGTTTCCTAAAATATATATATATATATATATATATATATATATATATATATATATATATATATATATATATATATATATATATATATATATATATATATATATATATATATATATATATATTTAAATATACATATTTAAATATATATATATATATATATATATATATATATATATATATATATATATATATATATATATTTAAATATATATATATATATATATATATATATATTTATATATATATATTTTAAGTGTTTGAGGTCGGCAGTTAAGTCGGAGGAGCTAACTGCCAACCTTTAAGTGTTTTTTTGCCAACCTCATTTCTATGTTTTATGGTAACCCTCTTGTATCAAATTTTTTTTGCCAACCTTATGCTGACCTCTAACAGTTTAAGGTCAGCAATTTATTGCCGACCTCATTTTTCCTAATTCCAAGGGTTGATATATATATATATATATATATATATATATATATATATATATATATATATATATATATATATATATATATATATATATATATATATATATATATATATATATATATATACATACAGTATTGGACAAAACATTTGCAACCAACATCAAACAATGCTAAAAAGTGTTCCTAATTTAACATGTCTTAAAAATGAAATGAACTATACTACCAGAGCAAACAGTTCAGGAATCTGGAGTCATAGCATGCCATGACATGAGCAATCAGCTGAGAGGTGACAGCACACAGGCAGAATTTTGTTGACAAGTGCCATTTTGCAGTAGACAAAACAAGTGTAACTTATTTGGTTTGTTTCATTTTCTTAAATCTGGTCTGTGTCAACGTCACGGAAGTTTTTTATTAATTAAAGGAAGTATCCAGAAGTTTCCAGAAATTTCCAGAAGCATGCAGAAGCTTAGAAATCTCCAGAAGAAGCATCTGGAAGCATCCAAAAGTATCCAGAAACATTCAGAAACATTCAGACTTATCCAGAAGCTTCCAGAGGCATCTAAAAGAAGCATCTAGAATCTTCCAGAACAGGTTCACACAAGTTAATTTTACTATATAAGAGACATGTAAACCGACATTTAATTCAGTCAGTATATGGAAGTCAATCAGTCAGTATTATCAAGACAGTTTATCGAAGTGAGTTTTATCAAAGTGTTTCATTACATCATTATAGTCCACATCCAACCAAGACGTTGTGTTCCAC